CACGGGGGGAGGGGAAGGGGGTGGGGTGGTGACGTTCACAGCTAGTGGGCGGGCCGGGGAGCCGCTGTCATGCTGCACGTCACCGCCCCGCCCCCCTTCGCTTCCCATTGTGGCACTCGGCTGACTTCTGTGCTACTCAGCCGGGCTGCCGCGGGGGAGCAAGCGGTGGAAGCGGCCGTTTGGGCCCTGCACTCTGCATGCAGCACAGGCCGCCCAGAGGGAACAGCCAGCATTTTGGCGTTACAGACTTACAGACACTGGGCTAATATATATATGATGGGATCAAGTAAATAGCTTTTCCTTATTCATTTTCTCCATATCTGTCATGATTTTATAGACCTCTATCACATCCCCCCTTAGTCTCCTCTTTTCTAAACCTAAAAGTCCCAAGTCTGTTTAATCTCTCTTCATATGGGATCCCTTCCAAGCCCCTGATCATTTTTTATTCCCATTTGTGAACTTTTTCCGATTCCAATGTATTTTTTTTAGATGAGACAACCACATCTGTATGAAGTATATTCAAGATGTGGGCATACCATGGATTTATATAGAGGCAATAAGATATTGTCTGTCTTTTTCTCTATCCCTTTTTTAATTATTCCAAACATTCTGTTTGCTTTTTTGACTGCTGCTGCACATTGGGTGGATGTTTTCAGAGAACTATCCATAATGACTCCAAGATCCCTCTCTGGAGTGGATATAGCTAAATTAGACCCCATCATTTTGTATGTGTAATTGGGATTATTTCTTCCAATGTGCATTACTTTGCATTTATCAACATTAACATTCTTTTTGCCATTTTGATGCCCAATTACATAGTTTGTAAGATCCTTTTGAAGTTCTTCACAGTCTGCTTTGGTCTTAACTATCTTGAGCAGTTTAGTATCATCTGCGAATTTTGCCATCTCACTGTTTACCACTTTCTCCAGATCATTTATAACCTGTTGACTAGGATTGGTCCCAGTACAGACCCCTTAGGGATACCGCTAGTTACCTCTCTCCATTCTGAAAACTGACCATTTATCTCTAACCTTTGTTTCCTGTTTTTTAACCAGCTATTAGTCCATGAGAAGACCTTCCCTCTTATCCCATGACAACTTACTTTACTTAAGTGCTTTTGGTAAGGGACCTTGTCATAGGCTTTTTGAACATTTAAATACACTGTAGCTACTAGATCTTCCGTGCCCACATGTTTGTTGACCTCCTCAAAGATCTCTAGTAGATTAGTAATGCACGATTTCCCTTTACCGAAACCATGTTGACTTTTCCCCAACAAATTATGTTAATCTATGTGTCTGACAATTCTATTCTTAACTAATTTCCCCATCACTGACTGTAGATATGCGTAGTGGTTGCTCCCTAGATATCAAGCCCAGTGTAAATAATTGTTAATAAACAAAAGTGGTTTCATTAAGTATAAAAATAGGATTTAAGTGATTGCACATGAAAACAGTCAGGTCAAAGTAAATTACTAATTTAAACAATCTACACTAGCTAATTCCAGTACCAGGTGGCATAGTCATGTGACTGTCTAGGATCAACCACTGTTTGGGATCACAGGAAAAATGGAAACATTATTAGTAGTTGGTTTGAGACTGTGTCATTCAGAATATGTCTACACAGCAGGGCTAAAGTCAAATTAAGTTACGCAACTCATCTACATCAATTGTGTAGCTTACACTGAAATAGCTTTAATTCAGTTTTCAGCACTGTCTACACAGCAGGAAGTCAAAGGAAAAACACTCTTCCTTTGACTTCCTTTACTCCTCATGAAATAAGGGTTACCAGGAGTCAGAGTAAGAAGTCCTCCAGCTCGACATTATTTCAAAATAAAGACTTGTTTTGTAGATGCACATGATGTCATTTCGGCATAACATCAGTTATTCTGGAATAATGCTGCTGTGTAGATGTACCCTAAGTTCCTAACATATCACTGATGTCCATCATTACCACATTTACCTCATTACCACATAAACAAGTCTACACTTCATATGTCTAATTTCACATACAAGAATGATACATGCACAAAAATAGCACATACAGATTCAGCAGATTATAGCCTTAAAAATTGTATGTTACATATCCTGTAACATAGAAAATTGAATACCAATTTTCATAAAGCATCTTTGAGATAGGCTTATCAAAGATGCTTTATGAAAATTGGTATTAATAAGCCAATTTTCCTGAAGCTGTGACAGCAGTTGTTTGGGTGTTATCTCCCCATTTTCCTGTTGCCCTTTCAGCTCAGCACAGAGAATGACTCTTGTCTGGTTTCTGTCTCTGTCCCAGCAGGTGATGGAATGGTGAGTGAGAACAATGAGGAGAGTCTTCATGAGGAAAGTCCGGAACAAGTGGCTCCACATGGGATGTTACTGGGAAGATCTAAAGGGCATGTTTCTCAGAGTCCTGAGCAGGGAGAGACCTGTGAGAGTCAGCCTACTCCAGAAAGGCAGCAGGGAAACCATGTGGTGGAGGGACAGGATAAATCCAGGGACAGGAGCAGAGGGGTAAAAAGGAACAAAGAAACTGTTCTACAGAAAATCCCCCATCGAGAAGGACCCTACACTTGCAGTGATTGTAGAAACAGTTTCCAATGTAGACAGGTCCTCATTTTACATCAGAGAATCCACACAAGTGGGAACCCTTTCAACTTGTCTGACTGTAAGAATAATTTCAGTCAGAATTCAAAGCTTATTTCCCATGAGGGAATGCATCCAGCTGAGAAAATCTGTGACTGCACTGCCTGTGGGAAAAGCTTACATTCCCAATCAAGTGTTACTGAACACCAGAGAAACGACAGAGTAGAGAAACCCTTCATTTGCTCTGACTGTGGGAAAAGCTTCAGTCGGCGCTCAAGTCTTGTTAGACATAAGAGAATACACACAGGAGAGAAACCCTTTAACTGCTCTGCCTGTGGGAAAAGCTTCACGCAGAGCTCAAGTCTGAACATTCATCAGAGAAGCCACACAGGAGAGAGACCCTTTCAGTGCTCTACCTGTGGGAAAAGATTCAGTCGGCGCTCATTCCTTATTCAACATCAGGTAATACATACCAGTGAGATGCCCTATAACTGTTCTGACTGTGGGAAAAGCTTCCAGCAGCGCTCAAGTCTTATTAGTCATCAGAGAACCCACACAGGCGAGAAGCCCTTCAGCTGCTCTGACTGTGGGAAAACCTTCAGTGAGAACACAAACCTCATTCAGCATCAGAGAATCCACACAGGGGAGAAACCCTTTAGCTGCTCTGACTGTGGGAAAAGCTTCAGTCGGCGCTCAAGTCTTCTTCATCATCAGAGAACCCACACAGGTGAGAAACCCTTCAACTGCTCTGAGTGTGGGAAAACCTTCAGTCAGAACACAAACCTCATTCAACATCAGAGAATCCACACAGGGGAGAAACCCTTTAGCTGCTCTGACTGTGGAAAAAGCTTCAGTCGGCGCCCATGTCTTCCTCATCAGAGAATCCACACAGGGGAGAAACCCTACAACTGCTCTGACTGTGGAAAAAGTTTCAGTCAGCACTCAAATCTTATTAATCATCAGAGAACCCACACAGGGGAGAAACCCTACAACTGCTGTGACTGTGGGGAAAGCTTCAGTCAGGTCTCAAGCCTTATTATTCATCAGAGAACCCACACAGGAGAAAAGCCCTTCAGGTGTTCTGATTGTGGGAAAAACTTCAGTCAGAGGTCACACCTTGTTAGACATAGGAAAACCCACACAGGAGAGAAATCTTATAACTGCTCTGACTGAGGAAAAAGGTTCAATCTGAGCTGATAGGCTTTTGAACATCAGAGAACCCACATGGGTGAGAAGCCTTTTAATGGTGCTGTCCTTAGGAAAATGGGCTTAATTTGCTGCAAGGATGCTTTAGGTTGGATATTAGGAAAAACCTCCTAACTGTCAGGGTGGTTACGCACTGGAATAAATTGCCTAGGGCGATTGTGGAATCTCTATAATTGGAGATATTTAAGAGCTGGTTAGAGAAATATCTCTGTGATGATTTAGATGGTGTTTGGTCCTGCTGTGAGGGCAGGAGGCTGGACTTAATGACCTTTCGAGGTCCCTTCCACTTCTAGTGTTCTGTGATGCAATGAAAAAGACATTTATTTCAAATGGTATAAAAGGAAAGTGCTAGAAATGGGAAAAGTAGTCCAGCTTTCCAGTTGCCACAGGTTGGGGAAAATTCTTCTAAACACAAACTGGAATGGGTGACAGAGTTTGCACATGACCCCATTGTAATGAAAACTGACTTGGTGTTGATTTCAACTGCCTGCTTCCTCAGCATGGGGAAGCACCCAAGCCCCTGGGCTCAAAGCTGGGAAGGAATCATCTCCCTCCACCCTCTCCCAGGCTGTTTTGTGTAGTGGGAAGCACCCTCTGGTTGAGCCTGCCAGATTGGGCCCTTGCCTGCCTTCCCCTGACTTGTGAATTGCACTGGGGGCTAGGGGATAGCCAAGAGCCTGGGTGCCTACAGTGAACTTCTGACTGTGATATGGAGCCTGTCCTTTACGTTTCTGTAACAGCTGACTCGAGGATGGCTAATGTGATGCCAATTTTTTTGAAAAAGGATCCAGAGGCAATCTCAAGCATTCCTTGTGGGGAAGTCTGCCTTCAGTACCAAGGATATTGGTTGAAGTAATAGTAAAGAACAGCAATGCTTTCTGTAAAGAGAAATCATGCCTCACTGATCTATTAGAATTCTTTGAGGGGAGTCAATAAATATGTATGCTCCAGTGTACTTAGACTTTCAGAAAGCATTTGACAAGGTCCCTCACTAAAGGCTGTTAAGCAATGGAAGCAGTCATGGTTGTGTGGGAGAATTAAACCTGACAGCACTGCAGTGAGCTATTTTGTATGTCCAGCCATTGGTAGCTGAAAACCAGATATTACATAGCTAGGACTAATATTTAGGATTTTGAGAGTCAAGGCCAAATACCTGTATGTTTCCAGTTTTGCTAATCACAATGGGACAAAAAGTTAATGTATTGTAACAGGAACGTTTCAGCAGCTCACCTTGGTTTTAAGTGTCTCTAATGTAAGTATTGTTATAGCTAAAATGCTTTATTAATAAAAATAACGTACACAAATCCATGGGCCCGGATTTAATGTATCGACGGGTACTGAGGGAGTTACCAAGTGTCATTGCAGAGCCTTGAGCTATTATCTTTGAAAACTCATGGAGATCGGGAGAGATCCCGGAAGATTGGAAAAAGGCAAATGTAGTGCCCATCTTTAAAAAAGGAAAGAATGACAATCCAGGGAACTACAGACCTGACAGCCTTACCTCAGTCCCTGGAATAATCATGGAGGGGGGACACTCAAGGAATCCATTTTGAAGCACAAGGAAGAGGGGAAAGTGATCAGGAATAGTCAGCATGGATTCACCAACGGCAAGTCGTGCCTGATTAATCTGATTAGCTTCTATGATGAGGTAACTGGCTCTGAAGATTTGGGAAAGTCAGTGGGTGTAATATACCTTGACTTTAGCAAAGCTTTTGATACAGTCTTCCACAATATTCTTGCCAGCAAGTTAAGAGAATATGGGCTGGATAAATGGACTGTAAGATCGATAGAAAGCTGGCTAGACTGTCAGGCCCAATGGATAGTGATCAATGGCTCAGTGTCAGGTTGGCAGTCAGTTTCTAGCATAGTATCCGAAGGATCGGTTCTAGGGCTGGTTTTGTTCAAATTTTTATTAATGACCTGGATGAGAGGATGGACTGCACCCTAAGCAAGTTTGCAGATGACACTAAGCTAGGGGGAGAGGTAGATACACTGGAGGGCAAGGATAGGGTCCGGAGTGACCTAGACAGATTAGAGGATTGGGCCAAAAGAAATCCGAGGAGGTCCAACAAGGACCTATGAGGAGAGACTGAGGGATTTGGGTTTGTTTAGTCTGCAGAAGAGAAGAGTGAGGGGGGATTTGATAGCAGCCTTCAACTTCCTGAAGGGAAGTTCCAAAGAGGATGAAGAAAGGCTGTTCACAGTAGTGACGGATGGCAGAACAAGGAGCAATGGTCTCAAGTTACAGTGGGGAAGGTCTAGGTTGGATATTAGGAAAAACTATTTCCCTAGGAGGGTGGTGAAGCACTGGAATGGGTTACCGGGAGGTGGTGGAATCTTCATCACTAGAGGTTTTTAAGTCTCGGCTTGACAAAGCCCTGGCTGGGTTGATTTAGTTGGGATTGGTCCTTCCTTGGGCAGGGGGCTGGACTTGATGACCTTCTGAGGTCTCTTCCAGCTCTATGATTCTGTGATTCACCTGGGCTGGGAGGAGCAGATTGCATAGTGATAGGTGGAGAAGGGGAAGTGGGTGGGTGCAAGGGATCTGTGCAGTGAGGTGGAGGCAGGGAGCAGTTTGTTTGGAGAGTCTGATTCACTTGCTGCAGTCTTCTCTGTGGCAGGATTGGAGGAGGTGGGAGAGCAGGCTGTATAGGGTGTATATATGCCAGGACATTTGCATGATTACGTTTCAAACAAAGTTTACATAGGTTTTAGAGGCTTAAGGTAAGAAAGAAAAAGATTCTTTTAACATATTTTTGGAGGGTTGCAGATATCTAAAACTGTGACCTTAATGATTTTTTTAAAAATCCTGTGTTACTAATTAATACATGGTATATTGTGTTGCATTAAAGCCAGATTTTAGCTAAGAGGTAGACTTGTGGCTCTTATGAGTCAGAAGTAACAAGTACTAGGTGCTATGCTCGTTATTTTGTAGGATGAAACTTTATTTGCAAGCTCTTTGAAACATGCATCTGTCTACAGCACCTGAAGCCATGTGTTAATTTGTCCTGGGGCTTCTATTCTTTGAGTTTTGTTTTCTGTGTGTGTGTGTGTGTGTGTTTTGTTTGTACTGGTGGTGCACATCCACACTCAATATTGGTGTTGTACATAAGAAAGTTTAATCCACCCAAACAGAAATTCAACCCACCTGAGACTACAACATGTTAGAGGGAACACTGCCCCTAAGCTCAGTTGTTGCAGGTGGCAGACAGCCGGGAGTGAACTAAAGCAGCACAGGGCTGCATGTAGCCATGTGTCTGTGCAGAAAGAGGAGCCACAAAGAACGAGAGAGCTCATTTCTGTCTCAATCGGGGGCCCTTTTGTGTGAAGCACATGTGATAACCCACTCTGCTGGTGGGTTCTTCTGCCCCTCCCCAGGGATGCCACCCATTTGGATGGCACTTGCCCTGATACTTACGGACAGGCCCACCTGCATAAAGCAACAGTCCATAGAGACCCTTCAGTACTTCAGCTGACAGAGCAGAGGATTGTAGTAGGTGCTTAGCAAGTGACCCTTAGGTGGTTGGTTTGACTCTGGCTCCGAGGAGAGCTTCTTTCCCTCCCCTGGCGGAGGCAGGGCATGCTGGCTTCTTGATGGAGCAGCAGGGAAGACAAGGCTCTTCCAAGAAGCACAACTGGGCTCCACACAGATGCCAAACAAGAGCTCAGCCTCAAGGACAAAGGCTTCTGCCAAAGCCCAGGATTGAACGAGGCATCTTTCGATCTTCAGTCTAATGCTTTCCCAACTTAGCTACTTCTGCACTTGCTCACACTTCTCTCTCGGGGATGTTTTTCTCAGCTGCAGTGCACAAGAAAAACTATTGCAAGTGGCCCTGCAAGGCAAGATGAGTTTTGCCTGCCTCTCATAGCTTGACTCACTGCTTTGCCCCATTCCTGCCTCCCTTCCCGGGCTGACACTGTGGGTGAGAGGGACTATGGCTTCCAGTGGTAGGGAAGATGGGTGGTGAGACACTGATGGCAAGAGGGTCCAGCTGCCTCTTTAACACTCGGGCTGCATCTAGACTGGCAAGATTTTGTGCAAAATCTTGCCGCTTGTCTACACTGGCCGCAAGTATTTGCTCAAGAACACTGACTTTGTACTGTACAAAATCAGTGGTTCTTGCGCAATTACTCCGATGCTCCCGCTCAGGGATAAGCCCTCTTGTGCAAGTGTTCTTACTCAAGAGGGCAGTGTAGATAGGGACAGGAATTTCTTGCGCAAGAAAGCCCCGATGGTGAAAATGGCCACCAGAGCTTTCTTGTGCAAGAGAGCATCTACACGGGCACGGGATGCTTTTGTGCAAAGGCACATGCCAGTGTAGATGCTCTCTTGTGCAAATACTTTAACGCAAGAACTCTTGCATTAAAAGTATTTGCACAAGAGAGGGCCAGTCTAGACGCAGCCAGTCTGTTTCCCTTTCCTCTTTTGACCTCCCTGCCTAAAGCAGTCAGATAAAGGAAGACTTGCTGCTACTGAAGAAGCTTGAGTGGCCAATGTCAGCTTGAACCCCCCCATCTTGGGGTTATCACGCTAACCAGCTGAGCTAGACAGCCCCCAGTGGGCCCTTTCAGAAAAAGGCTGCAGGTGGCTACAGGAACATTGTGGGCTCTGGAACAAGATGGGTGAGTCAGGGCAGTTTCTCACAGCCTCAGAAATAGCAAAACACAGATTTCCTGTGAAAGGTAAAACCTCTCTGCAGTGTCAGGCCCTGTCACATGCTAGGTGCCATCCAGGTGGGCGGAGCTCACGTGCCAGCTCTCGCCAACTAACTGCCAGAGTCACAATTTCTACTGTGCTGCTCAGGAGAAGAGGAAAAGCCTCTTGGGGAAATAGCTCCTGCCCCACCTCCCAATGGAGCCTCTTGTGTAGCAATGGTCAGAGGCCTCACTGGGGGATTAGCCCTGATTGCCTGGCACCTTGTGATGTTGGCCACAGAGCACGTGCTGGTCTGGGAGTGGGCTGAGTGGACATTTGGGGGTGGAGAGCAGACTGGCTGTGATCTTTGTGGAAGACCTCAGGCAACACGTAGGCATGGTCCTCCCCTCCTCTTGCCCTGCCTCAGTTGCTCTGTGACTTTTGAGCCTTCCCATAGAACTGTCATTGCTCCATGTGCCTGAAGGAGGAAAGGTGGGTTGGGGGCCAGTCTCTGATTTTGCCTTGACTATTCAACCTGGCCCTGCTGCTCCTTCCCTGAAATAACCTGGGAGCAAGAGGAAGAGCCTGGCAGTTACAGGGACCAAACATGTGGGCATCAGGTGAAGCAGTGCAAGATACAACCTCAATCCTTCTCAGTTTCTAGCTGGACTGTTGAGTTCTAGAGCCCCAACATGCTGCAGCCACCCCATTGAAGCAGTCAGGTCAAAGACCTAACTCTAGTGGGTATCAGTCACCCAGCAGGAAGGAAAAGACTCACTCTGGGGCATTTAAGCACAAGGAAGCCAAAGGTTTGGCTTTCCAAGGATTTGCAGCAAACCAGCATTTCACCAGTAAGTCCCACTGAGATTGGAACTCAGATTGCAGGATTCAAAGTCCTGAGCGCTTCCCCTTATACCATGGAACCTGCAGACTTGTCTTTCTCTGGACACCATTGACTCTTGGCTGGCAGCTGACTCCTGGCTTCCCTGCAGCTGCCTCACCTCTCAGGACACCCCTGAAGGATCTGTCACACTGAAGGGGGTTCCCCCCAGGGACCATTCCCAATGTGGGCACGACCTGAGTCCGTGACAGTCAGATGTCCTGAATGCCCAGTTTCTGCAGGTCTTTGAATTCACTCCAAGTTCTCTTGCCACAACTCTAAGGGTGTGTCTAGACTACAGGGTTTTGTCGACAAAAGTGGACTTTTGTCGACAAAACTATACCTGCGTCCTTAACGTCGACAGGACTCAGCAGTTTTGTCGACGCTGGTAAACCTCATTTCACGAGGCATAACACCTGTCAACAGAGTTCTGTCGACAGGAAGCATTATTGCATGTAAACTGTCCTTGCGTCTACACTGCCATGTTGACAAAGCAGCTTGCTTTGTCGACAGAACTGAATGTAGTGTAGACGCTCTTTGTCGACAGAAGCTTTGTCGACAGTATCTGTCGACAAAAATTCTGTCAACAAAACCCTGTAGTCTAGACGTACCCTAAGAGAAATCCTAAGTAAGTGTCTTGTAATGTCAGGAGAAGATATTGAAATGAGGCCAGTTCTCCTCACAGAGCACCCAACTGAAGGAAAGGCAGGATCTTGAGTCTGGCACCTTAGACCACTTGGCCATCCTGACACTGTTCTTCTAAACTGCAGTTTTCTTGCATGTGTGAATTACTCAGGGAGGCCAAGGGGACATTTCTCCTTCACCACATAACCGTTCTACAGCACAGCTAGTTTTATGCATACTCGTTCTCACCTACAGTTGTGACAATTTGTAATTAGCTGAAAAGAAATGGAAGAGGGGAAGCCGTTGGCTGGCAGAACCAAGGCTTGGGATTCTTCTACGTTCAGCTGTGCTAAGCAGCTGGCAGCCAAGCTCCCAAGTGCTGGTCTGTTCCTTCCCTCCCCAGGCAGGCAAATCCCCTTCTCTAGGGCTGCATGATTGGCATGATTTTCCGGACATGCTTTTAACGGAAAAGTTTTCCGTTAAAAACATTTTCGGAACAGAGCGTCTAGATTGGCATGGACGCTTTTCCACAAAAGCATTTTTTGCAGAAAAGCATCCGTGCCAATCTAGATGAGCTTTTCTGCAAAAAAGCCCCAATTGCCATTTTCGCGATCGGGGCTTTTTTGCAGAAAACAAATCTCAGCTGTCTACACTGGCCCTTTTGCACAAAAGCTTTGTGCAAAAGGGACTTTTGCCTGAACGGGAGCAGAATAGTATTTCCGCAAGAAGCACTGATTTCCTACAGTAGGAAGTCAGTGCTTTTGTGGAAATTCAAGCGGCCAGTGTAGACAGCTGGCAAGTTTTTCCGGAAAAGAGGCTGATTTTCCAGAAAAACTTGCCAGTCTAGACACAGCCTAGATGTTAAAAGCTTCAATTTCCCTGCCTGGTTTTTAGCCAGGGACTTTTTGCACACTCTGCAAACATGCTACCAACTGCACTACAGAAACCAGCCTGCTGATTTTTGGATTCTTTTTTAAAGTTTTCTCAGGAAACAGCCAGGATGCTGGGCTAGATGGGCCTTCGGTCTGACCCAGTCTGGCTGCTCTCATGTTATGTGACTTTCTGTTTTTATCCTGTCTGGGGAAGGGAGAATGAACCAACTCCCTGAATTGCACGAAAATTTGGCAAATTAGGAAAATTGCCTGAGAAAGCTCAGCATTGCTGAGAAAAAAAGCCCAGACCCTCACCTCCCTGGTGGTCTAGAGGCTTCGATTCAGGGCTCTCACTGCTGGGATGAGCTTTGATCCCTAGTCAGGGAACACAATCTCACCTTGCTGAGAAAAGCTGCAAGGACATTGCAACCTCAGTGAAAGATGCAGGGGACCTTTGATGTGACAGAACACTACAGGGACATTTTGCACCTTCTGCCTCAACAAGGCAAAACAGGGCATAAAATCTGCTGTCTGCAGAGCTGGGTGATTCCAGCTGCCCTTGTCCTTTCACTAGTGGGTAGAACTGAAGGGCTGTCTGGCACACGCAGCAATACTGCAGCACACGTGTCATTCCATAAAGACACCGAAGCGCTGTTCTCTCGTGAATACCTGGCATTTGCTCTCACAGCCATCGCTGCAGAGGGTCAGTGATTGGCTTTTACTGGAACAAAGGCACTGCATGTCTGCTGGGAATTAAACTTTTTTTTCTGTTCTTTGTGCTGTGAGTCTCACTCCTCTTTCTCAGGTGCAATTACTGCAAAGGCCAAGGTGGGTGAGCTTCTATTGCCCCCCACTTCGCCTGGGGAGAGAGACAACCAACAGGGGGCAGGCAATGGATAGTTGTTCCCCCTCAGAATCCTTCAGCAGTAAGACCTTAGGAATGGAAGCAGCTAATTACCCTTCTCTTCTGATGTTGAATTTCAAAGACTTGCCTCTAGAGGTGGGTGAAAGGGGTTTTTGGCTGAGTATTTTGATAAATGAACTACTTCGATTGATAAAAATGAAATGAAAATGCAAAAATGCAAAAAAAAAAAGGGTAGGGGACACAGAATGAAATTAATAGACAACAGATTTCAAACAAACAAAAGGAAGTATTCTTTTTCACACAATGCACAGTTAAACTGTGGAACTCTGTGCCACTAGATGTTGCGAACATCACAATTACAAGAGCATTCAATAAAAGCACTAACTAGTTTCAAGCAGGATCAGTCTGACCCTTCTGGTCTTGTGAAGACCAGGCCCAAGAATGCTTAGAACCTGATCTATGAACTGTATGTAGTTGAGGGCTGTATCATTGAACAACTCTCTGCTTGTGCTTGCTTCTCTCCTGATAAGAAGCCTTCACTCAGTGACTCTATAGCATTTGCTGGTAGTCTGAGTACTTTGGAGTTCTCTTCTGCTGCAGGATTTCTGAGCAGTGCAAGGAAGCCAAAGCACTTCAAGTGTGAGGGCTTTATAGCCAACCAGCACATTCCACTGAACTATTCAGAGTCCTGAGTGTTACCCATTACACCATGGGACCTACAGCTAGTGCTTTTGGTGGGCACCTGTGACTCTCAGCTCTCTGGCTGGCCCTCCAGCTGCTCACTCTATCTACCTTTGACTTGTATGCACATTCATTTTCACTTAGTATGTGTGTTACTCATAGTTTATAGAGGAATTCATTGTTAAAATCAGTGCTGATAACAATGTTCCAGGAAAGGTGAATTCCTCTCCTGCCCAGAGTAACAAAGAGTACAGGCAGTCCCCGGGTTACGTACAAAATAGGGACTGTAGGTTTGTTCTTAAGTTGAATCTGTATGTAAGTCGGACCTGGCGTCCAGATTCAGCCGCTGCTGAAACTGATCGTCAGTTCTGACTTACATACAGATTCAACTTAAGAACCCCAAGCGTCCCCAAGTCAGCTGCTGCTGAAACTGATCAGCGGCTGATTCCACGAAGCCCGGGGCAAAGCAACTCTGCCTCAGGCTTCCTGTAGTCAGCGCTGGTCAGTTTCAGCAGCAGCTAAATCAGGACGCCTCGGGCCGGGGCAGCGGGGG